AAGTTTTTGGTCATATTGAGCTGATGTATTATGATCTCAGTAATGAACGAATGGAGTGATCTTAGCCGACGTTTTAAACGAAAGAAACGATATAGGTTCCATCACCTCAAGATGCCGAGGTAATAGAATCTAGGGGGCAGTTGTGGGGACATAATTTTTGAGTGCCAACACGTGGCCAAGGTGACGCCGAAGTGTCAGCCGAGGTGCCACGTGTCCTGGTCATAACGCCGAGGTGATCTCGGATAGGCCGAGGTTACCTGCGAAGATACCGGAATCCGGTATAAGCGGATAAGGGACAAGAGTCCTAGAATGAGAAAAGACTTCAGTTTAGGTAAAAATAAGACTCTTAGAGAGTTTATCCTAATCCTACTGGGAGTCCAAGATTAGCAGTAATCCTAAGTCCATTAGAGCTAGGCTTCTATTGGGATTAGGATTGTGTTGGCTATAAAAGAGAGGCACCCCCATGGGTCTAAGGTACGCAATTTATATTCTGAATAATGAGTTAAGCACTTTGGCTATCTTAGAGAGAAAACTGACTTGATCATCAGAGTGCCCCCGGGTGGACGAACTACCGCCGGAATCTCTTCTTTCTGTTGCAGGTCATTCGGGACTAATCTATTCTGCTAGTGCTCTCCAGTTAAGTACTAATTTGACAGTGTGGTCGGAAATTGACACACACATTACCTAATATTGGGGTGTTTTAGAAAGATGGTTAATAGTTATTTTGTTAATTTTTTAAACTTTTTTTAAAAAAGTATATAAAAAACATGAGAGGTAATATAACTTAAAATAAGTTAAAACCAGACCCTTTTTTTTTTTTTTTGTCAAATTAGCCCATAATGTTTGCACCTGTAAAAAGGATATGTACAAGTAGATGGGACGTTGTGCACACACAATCAGTTTGGTCTGCATCTGGATCCTCTGTTTCTCTTGTAATATTTCAAAGGCAATGGCTTTGGTCCAGTCCAAGATCGGACTGGACCATGCTGTTGGGTCCGTGGGGGCCCACCACGGGTCCTGTTTTGATAATCCGAACCGTTCAATGTGTAGAACTCGTCGAGTACTATATGCCTGTAAAAAATCACGTTGATCGGATATCAATAGCTATGTGAACAAAACAGTTTTTTATCAACTGTTAATTTTTTCACCGTCTATTTTTTTAATACAAAACTGATTTGATCACATAGTTATTGATATCCGATCAACGTGATTTTTTACAAGCGTGTAGTACTCGACGAGTTCTACACATTGAACGGTTCAGATTATTAAAAAGGGCCCAAAAAATGGACCCCATAAGCCGAACTGGACGGGTCCAGTCTTGATCTCAACTTGAGACAAGCTGGACCCTATTTCAAAATGATATTATTTTGAGGCAAAACTTACATTAGAAAAGAAAAAGAAAAAATAAAAAAAAGAGCTCCATTATCTGTTGCCCTGCCTTAAAATGATGTAATTTTAAAACAGAGAAAACTAGAGGCAATGGTCAACTCTTTGGAGTTTGATTTAGTGGTCTTAGAACGGCCCTCTAAATATTAGATAAATTGTAAGGTAAATTATATTAACAGTTCTTATAGTTTGTGGTTTGTGTCACTTTAGTTTTTGATTTTTCAATTATAACATATTTGATCATGAATTTTGAATCTTGTTCTAAATAAGGACAATTGAACTTACCATTGCTTAATTTCAAGAGTAAAATTGTCAATTTGATAAAATATAAACTAATTTGATAAAACTAAACATCAAAAAAATATTTTAAAATTTTTAAAAATTATTTCTACCCACCAAAAATAAAATTATGTAAAATTGATAAAAATTAATAAAAATTATATGATTAATTTTTAAAAATTAATTTTATATGATCATCATCCAAAAACATAATAAAAATTAATTTGGTAAAAAAAATAAATATCTAAAAGATTTATCTATTTTATATAATTTTATCTTTACTAAGTAGAGATAATTTTTAAAAATTCAAAAATAATTTTTTGACATTTATTCTTGTCAAATTATATTTATATTATATCAAATTGATGATTTTGTCATTGAAAAATCTAATAGTATCTTTAATTGTCCTTATTTGAAACAAGATTCAAATTTTAAGGTCAAATGTGTCACAATTGAAAAGTTAGGAACCAAAATAACACAAGCCCCAAACTATAGAGACTGTTAGTGTAATTCACCCTAAATTGTATTTAGGATTTGGATATGTGGTTGAATTTTGGCAACCGTATTCTCTAACTTAAATAGTATATGCATTGTGGAGTTAGTGCACACACCGAAGTTTGTATCGTCCTACTCTAATTAAACCAAGATTAGATAATTGATTTTAAAATTGACAAATGACAAATTTGAAAAGTTTACTCGTTAACCAAAAAAAAACTACCAGCAATGTAGATCTGAATTCATTTGGCCCATTTGATTGCTCTGAGGGGATCACCGCTCAGTTTTATAACAAAATTATTTTGTATAAATTTTTTATGTGTATATCAATACTCCAAATTGTTTAAGGGGTAGGGAACCAATATCCTTAAACAAATAAAATGAGTGTTAAGAATAAATTTCTGCAAGGAGATATAAAAATTGTGTTTGGATATTGAATTTGTATATAAAAAAAATTAAAAATATATATTGGGCTTTTTTTTTTTGTATAAAATATTTTAAAAGTTTCAATTTTTAGATCCTACTAGAAGAGATGACCCTAAAAATGTATTTTAAAAATTGAAAAAAAGTACATTAAGCCAAAGTTATTTTATTTTATTTATTTTTTGTTTTTAAATTTTTTTAATCTTTTAGATCATTCTAAACTAGAAGAATTTGAAAGGAGAGAAAAAAAAAACACATTTTTTTAATAAATGTTTTAAAAATAAAAAAATTGAAAAAAATATATAATTTTGTTAGTAGTTGCCAAACTCAATGTGAATTAAGAACAAAAGAAAACAATCTAAAAAATACAAAAATATAAAAAAAAAAGAGAGAAAAATGAAGCACATGGATTGATCTAGTGAAGAAGATAATGGTGTAAAGAATCAAAGAACATTCTACTCAAAACATTGAGAAGAAAACAAACAAACACAAACAAACATTGTGAATGTCATGTGAGCTGCAAAATTTGTGAGGACGCTACATGCATCATGGGACCAAATTGTAATAAGAATAGTGATTAAGAGTTCTAAAATTAGAGTTATAATATAGTGATGTGGCATATATAAAAAAAAAAAAAAAACTAATCAAGAAACAAGACATATATCATATATGTGGGTTTCACTATTTAATATGATTATACTTAAAATAATGCTATATGTACCAATTAGTGTACTAACTAATGTGCGAATTGATTATGTGGCATAATTTAAGAGATTTTTGATATTTGTAATTTTTATAATGAGTTGGGTCAATAATAATATCATAATATATGTTTGTACACTAGTTGGTATACTAATTGGTGCATGTAACACTACAATTATACTTAATGTTGTAACTAGTTAGTGTGCTAATTGGTAAACTAATTAGTGTTTATAGCATTATCAAAAAATAAATTGATGTCTTGGGTTTAATGGTAACATGGGAGCTATAGTGGAGTGTATTGCTAATCTTCAAATCCCATCTACTAATTTTATTTTATTTTTTTAAGGAGGAAATTGGTATACAAATAAAATTTTTATACACAAATTTCTCCTAGGATGATGTGGAAACTGGCAATGGTACTTTCTAGACTGATTTTTTTAAGACTGTTTGGATTATGAATTTAAATAGAGAATTAAAAAAGGAAAGAGAAAAAGAAAGAGAAAGGAAAAAGGACGAAAGATGTGAATGAAATATAAGTAAAATGTTATATATTTATTTATTTATTTATTTTTCTAAATCCTTGATCCAAATACAGTATTAAAGTGATGAATTGTATGGATTCTTCTTTGATTCTCATAGCCAAACAAAATTTAACTGGATCTTCCAGCCCATTAAGCTTCTTAACCCAACAGAAAATTGATGGAACCAAACCCACAAGTTTAACCACAAATGGGTCGGCCCACTGCTGATTTGAAAGCCAGTTAGCGTCAACTTGCTACACTCTCTCTTTTCTGTTTCTTATTTACCTATTTTTGAGTAATAAATTAATTTTTAAATGGAAAATGATAACTCACCAGAATTTTTATATAGAATAGCTTCCAGAATGGATGTTACAGTGGTATACTTGTAAATTATGTGAAATGACGGGCCTTGTGATTTCAAATTAAAGAATCATAGGTAGTTCATCTTTTTTGTATAATATTCTCTATGTATAGCACTAGTCTTTCTAAATATTCAAATATTTGCCTATTAATGCTTGCATTGGTTAAGCTTGGAAAGAGTTGAAAATCTGAGATACCTTGCATCAGGCCATGGCCTCAACCAACTTTGTTCTTTGTATAGGTTGACTAGGCACAATTGCTACTATTTAAAGAGTTTCTTCCTTAATATCACGAGACAAATTTTTTATTTTTTCGATCAAAGAAGGCAGAGAGGATATGGGAAAGTGATATCTAGGAGCTCAAACCTAAACACCGGCCAAGCTAGCTTAGGGCTTTAAGGAGTCTTTTGAGAAGTCGCTAAAAATGTCAGTTTTTTGATATTTTAGTTTTTTTATACAAAACGTCACAAAAAATTAGTTTTTTTAGCCAAAAAAAAAAAAAATCAAAAATTCAAAAAAAACAAAAAAAATCAATTTTTTTACTAACTTATCGAAACACCACTAAATTTATTTATTTATTTCCAAGAGCTTTGCCCAAGTCCTATCCTAGGATGGGCTTGGGCCACATTTACACCCATGAAATGGTACGTAAACAACACGCGTTGTAGATGCAAGTGGAAATGAAAACATTCAAAATGACTTGGTCAAAGAGAGATTGCGAGTCTTCGTCACGTCTGTAAGGACATGAGAGGCTTAAGGTCCACCAACCAACTCTGCTCTATCTCTTTTCTCTTCCAAGAAAATTTGCCTCTTTAGTTTCCACTCAACCAAACACCTCTCCCATGATGATGATACAACAACGCACGCCCATTTCAACAACTCTCAAATATGCACATTACCCTTCACATCACACACACATCTTGCATTGATTGAACCCCCAAAAACAAAAAAAAAAAACAAATAGAGCAAACAAGACTAGAACAAAAGGGAGAGAAAATAAATTACAGAGACTGCATAACAAAACCATGCCAAGCAAGCTAAAAAAGGCCATTGGAGCAGTGAAAGATCAAACAAGCATTAGCCTAGCTAAAGTTTCCAGCAACAATTCATCGAATATCGAGGTTTCAGTTCTCAAGGCCACCACCCACGATAGCGTCCCCGTGGAAGAGCGCTATGTGCATGAAATCCTCCAACTTGTCTCCTCCGATAAAGCCCAAGCGGCCGCTTGCGCTCGAGCGATTGGCAAGAGGATTGGCCGGACCCGCAATTGGATCGTTGCCATAAAATCATTAATGCTTGTTCTTAGAATATTCCAAGACGGCGACCCTTACTTCCCTAGGGAGGTTCTTCACGCGATGAAGCGAGGTGCCAAGATTCTCAACCTGTCGAGCTTTAGGGATGACTCGAATTCAAGCCCGTGGGACTACACGGCTTTTATTCGTACCTTTGCGCTCTATCTAGACGAGCGTTTGGATTGTTTTCTCACGGGGAAGCTTCAACGTAGATATACTCACCATGAGAAGGAACCGTTCCATCGTAGAAGCCGGAGAGCGAATGAGCCGGTGCGTAACATGAAACCAGCAATGTTGCTCGATAAGATCTCATATTGGCAGCGATTGCTGGATAGAGCGGTGGCAACAAGGCCAACCGGTGCTGCAAAGACGAACCGGCTGGTGCAAATATCTTTATATGCCGTTGTGCAAGAGAGTTTTGATCTATACAAAGACATTTCGGATGGTCTCGCGCTCCTCCTCGATAGTTTCTTTCATTTGCAATACAATTCTTGTGTTAATGCTTTTCAAGCTTGTGTTAAGGCTACAAAGCAATTTGAAGAGCTCAGTGGGTTCTATGATCTCTGCAAAAACATTGGTGTTGGGAGGACCTCTGAATACCCAAGTGTGCAAAAGATACCAAAGAGCTAATTGAAACATTACAAGAATTCTTGAAAGATCAATCATCTTTTCCAACGACGGGTCGGTCTCCAAACCGCCCGCAATTGCTTCTCCCCGCGCCACCATGCGATGGTTCAACCACCGGTCGGCGTCACGACAGTTGCATGACTGAATTCACCGATACATCAGAGATGACTTCTGAATTCGGTTCACAATGTACGTCCTTGGAAGATTTAATAAGTGCCACGGAGTTGACCGGGAAAAGCCCATCAATTTCAATAGATCTCGAGGCTTATTCCATTGCGGATCAATTCGAGAAACAATTGCAACGAGATGATGCGTTTAGTGCAAATGACGATGCAGGTTCAACTCAATCATTGCCCGTCATGAGTTCTACGGTAGATCTTGTATCCCTAGAGGAATGGCCACAGAAAGAACAAGAAATAGAAAAGGTACAAGAAGAAGAAGAACAACAAAAGCCATTAGAGCCAAGTTCAACCACTGGTTGGGAACTTGTCCTAGCTGAGGTTGCAACAACATCATCACAACCATCTACCAATGGCTTTGACACCTTTTTGAGTCAAGAACAAGAACTGACACAGATTGCAACAACATTAACAAAACCATTTACTGATCGCTTCGACCCCTTTTTGAGTAAAAAACAAGAACATAAGCAGGCTACAACATCACCACAGCCATTTACCAATGCCTTCAACTCCTTTTTGAGTCCAGAACAAGAACAGAAGCCATCAGAGTCGGGTTCGAGAGATGGTTGGGAACTAGTTCTAGCTGAGATAGCAACACCATCAAGCCAACCGCCTATCCCCATTACTGAGGCTTTCAGTGTTTCATCAAAAGACAATTTGTACCATCAAAGTTCAGTACCACCATCAACCCGACCACCTATCCCCATTACAGAGGCCTTCAATGTTTCATCGATAGACAATTTGTACCATCAAAGTTCAATACCACATCAAAGTTCAGTACCACCACCAGACCACTATTACAATCCATTTCTACAAGATACAACTGAATTAACTGCCATTGCAACTGTCACCACCCCGACCCCAACCCCGACAACAACCGCGACCGATTTTGAAGCAAGTTTTCCAGCCAACGAAGGCTTTTCATGGGGGCCAACTTTTCAAGCAACCCCAACTTTCTGTGCTCAAAATCCATATAGTCCAAGTATGGTTTTGCAGAATGAAAATGACCCTTTTGCATCATACCCAATTGGGGGTGATGAACAAGGTTTTAGTGGGTCGACGAACCAACAGAACTTGCTGCATGAACAACAGTTGTGGTTGCAACAACAGAACAAGATCATAGCAAGGCATACTGCTTGATCCATGATACAAAAAGGCATGTAGGCACTGTAAATTATTTTGTGATCAAATTTAGCTTGTTTATTATTTTTTTATTGGATTTTCATAAATATCAGTAAATTGAAGCAAATCAAATGAAATCATTTTTATGGTGTTGAGATACATGAGATCTTTTATACTCAATAGAAGATATTAATGACATATGGGTATTCATTCATGAGGCTTAATTGATAATTAATACTACACATGCAGAAAAAAAATATATATACATATATATGTGTGTGTGTGTGTGTGATTTTTGTGCATAATGATATGGGTGAATCTGAGACTTGCACTTTAAAACAAATCACACATCAAGATGGGTTTTAATTGAAAAATGTTATCGCCACGTCATTATGGTGATATTTTATGTTTCAACTTAAGAATTTTCTTTAATTAATATAAAAACAAACGAACCAAACTTGTTTTCGAAACTTGTATATAACGAAATCAAAAGAGACATTGGATGATGAAGGAGAAAATTAAACGACGATGACGGCAATACATACTCATTATCTGGGAAGCTAGAACTTAGGAGTTGGATCCTCTATTCTTAAATCCTTATCACATATGACAGGTGATGGCACAAACCAAGTGTCATTGGGCATCGAAACATCAGCAACAAATATTTAACCTAAATATGAACATCTCCAACGGTAGTAGGCATTTTACCTATCTAAATATTACTATAAAGTATATATTTTATTTTGCCTATCAACTGTTTTATGTTTTTACTCCAACCATGCTTTTTATTTTAGCTGTTATCCAAATACTATTAATTTTATAGAATGCCACGTTAACAACAAAGATGGAGGGAAATGATCCTAATGATTGAATACATTTTGCCTAGCGTTGAAGGCTAGCTACATGTAGCTAGTGAATATGAGCTGAGCTAAAATGCCTAATCATATGCTTAGTGCATTGGAATTGAAAAAAAGTGAATCACACTAGACATTTTAACGAACAAGTATTATATGCCTAGTGCATTGAAGATGCTCAAACGACAGTCAATAGACGTTAGACGAGTTAGTAATGCTTACATACCTCTGCATAATTAATGCGGTCATCCCATCTGTTCCAGTGGCATATTCAGCAATACATTGAACTAAAACTTGTATTTGCCAGCCACGAAACCTTCCATGTCCTGTTCTAAAACAACGTATAGGCAGTTAATTCACAATACACACTCATGCTCAATTAAAATCAATCAATCAATTAATGCAATCAATATCTAATCCTTGCAAACTTTGGATATCCACAGCCCTATAACAAAAACACATTTAAAAAAAAAAAAAAAAATTTGATGGTTGACATAATCTTGATAATTTTTTAAAAAAAATTAGGACATAATCATGCGGTTAAGAATATCAGATTGACTTAATTTTTTTTACATGAATAATATTCTCGACAAACTGTACAATATGAACGGTTCAGATCATCCAAAAGAGATTCGAAATGATACTCTACAAAAAGGCACAGTAGGCCCGCAAGGAAACAATCTCAATTAATGGTAGAAATACTAAGGGTTGGTTTGGGGTGTTCTAAAAAAGTGCACTTTTTGACTTATTGGTTTATATGGGTTGGGTTTAGGTTGGGTTTGATGTGATGTATTAGAGAGGTGATGTGATTTAAATACGATGATGTGACTTAAATAGGATAGTGACTTTTTGATTTTTTGTATTATTTAGGTTATGCCAAACTTGGCCTAAATTTTCTACCAAATAAATAATTAAATATCTCATATAGTAAAAAATTTGGGACTAACAACATTTTTAAGAAAAAATACCAATGAAAAAGTGCCCCACAACATAATTTTGTACCAATAAAATTTCTATACAACATTGAAATAAACCTATTTATAATTGAAATGTCAATAGAATTTTTGTATCATGTGAAAAAATATATTCAAAAATATCTTTAAATATCCTTATTTTTGTAATTATTTAATTAGTAATTACTTTTAAATTTCAACATCAATGATCATAACTTCTAATAATGGGTTTCCATGAAACTACAAGATTTCGACATTGATTCGCTTACAAATGAGTTATACTCTATGAATGAGCGTTGTGCTCAATTCAAAAATATTTAATTTAAATTGATAACTGAGATTAGTTTACTTAGATTTGTGTTTAGTGTAAATTTATGTCGACAAGTAATTTTTTCAATTTTTTTTATCAATGTGCAAAAAAAAGTTGTATAATCCTCTTTTGATCCATTTTATTTTTAGCAACAAAATTAAACATTTAGTGATGAATTATTAACTTTTTGTGACCAAAAGTTGTCTAAAAAAATAAATCTTTTTGGGACCAAGTTATTTTGTCTTTAAAAATACATTTATTAGCGATATTTTTAAAATTTGTCCCTAAAAGCTCATTTTTTGACTTTTCGAAACAACCTTTTAGTGATTGTCATTGTGACAACTGAAATTAGTCCCTAAATGTTTTTCACAACAAAATTTATATTTTTAGAGACAAAAAAAAAAACTTAGTCCCTAAAACTCTTATATGTTATAGTGAATACATATAAATTGCCCCCTCTAAAACAATTAGTGGCCAAAGTTAATTAGTTCCTAGAACAAAATAGAGAAGGACGGAGAAGGACGAAGAAAGTTAGAGAGAAATATTCTTTTTGAAAGCTAGAAGAAAAAGTTAGATAAAAGAAAGAGAAATAGGCAGAAAATCAAAGGGAATTCAAATTCATCCTTTTGGACTTGAGAATAGAACACTTACGTGATTTAGAAAATCTTAAATGAGCTGCTTATAAGTTAAACTAATATCGTTAAACTACAATTATTTAGAAAATTCTCTTTTTTGGAGGCTAAGCAATATTAGGTTGAGTTAAACTTGACCACTTAAGCTAATAAAACAATTAGTAGCCTAAGCTAATTAGTTCCTAGAACAAAATAGAGAAGCATGAAGAAGTTCGGAGAAATTTTGAGAGAAATATTTTTCTTGAGAGTTAGAAAAGAAAATAGAGAAAAGAAAGAGAAATAGGAAGAAGATCGAAGGGAATTCAAATTCATCCTTTGGAACTGAGAAATGAACACTTAGGTGATTTACGATATCTTAAATGACGTACTTAAGTTAAACTAATACCGTTAAGTTACAATTTGTCAAAAAATTCTCTTTCTTGGAGGCAAAGCAAGGTTTGTTTGAGTTAAACTTGGCCACTTGAGCAAATGAAACAATTAATGGCCTAAGCTAATTAGTCCATAGAACAAAATAAAAAAGGAATGAGAAGGACAGAGAAAGTTAGAGAGAAATTTTTTTTCTTGAGAGTTAGAAGAGAAAATTAGAGAAAAGAAAAAGAAATAGGAAGAAAATCAAAGAGAGTTCAAATTCATCATCATTTGGACTTGAGAATTGAACACTTAGATGATTTAAAAAAATCTTAAATGAAGTGCTTATGTTAAACTAATATCGTTAAGCTACAATTACTCAAAAAATTCTTTTTCTTAGTATTGTACATGTTTCAATTTAATATAATTTAAATTTTAAAATAAAATTTAAAAATTTTAATTAATTAATTTTTGTGTAAGTTGGTTAGTCTTTTGACCTAGCTGATTAGGTGTTAGAGAGAAATTTTTTTTCTTGAGAGTTAGAAGAGAAAATTAGAGAAAAGAAAAAGAAATAGGAAGAAAATCAAAGAGAGTTCAAATTCATCATCATTTGGACTTGAGAATTGAACACTTAGATGATTTAAAAAAATCTTAAATGAAGTGCTTATGTTAAACTAATATCGTTAAGCTACAATTACTCAAAAAATTCTCTTTCTTAGTATTGTACATGTTTCAATTTAATATAATTTAAAATTTAAATTTTAAAATAAAATTTAAAAATTTTAATTAATTAATTTTTGTGTAAGTTAGTTAGTCTTTTGACCTAGCTGATTAGGTTGAATCATTTTTGATTTGACTGATTCGTTGGTTTAACCGCAATTTTAGCAGTTTTATCAAAATATATTGATTAGATTTGTTTAATTTGAAATAAACTAAAGATTGATCTAATTAAAAATTGAACAACCGATATTAAATTTCACATCCAAATAATTGTTAACTTTTATTTTATAATCCCACATCAGAAAAAGAAAGAAAAAAATGAGTTGTTTTACTTCTATAAAATGAACCTTAATATTGTAGTCTTGTGCATTCTTTAATTCAAGTGAGTTTAAATTTTAAAATTAAAATAACATTTAAAAGTCTGAATTAATTAATTTTTGTAGAGGTTGGTTGGTCTTTTGACCTAACTGATTAGGCTAAATCGTGATCAGTGCGGAGCATTGTGAGAGCTTCAATACCTCATACTAATTTTCTTGATTTTCTTAATTTTAATTAGTCTATGATTTATTTGATAATCCCACATCGAGAGAAAAATGAAAAAGTGAATTGTTTTACTCATATAGAGTGAATTTTATACTTTCATTTAATATTGTAATGTAGTGCATATTTCAATTTAATACAATTTAAATTTTAAAATAAAATTTAAAAGTTTTAATTAATTAATTGTGTAAGTTGGTTGGTCTTTTGACCTACCTGATTAGGTTGAATCATATTTGATTTGACTGGTTTGTTGGTTTAACCGTCATTTTAGTAGTTTTATCAAAATAAATCATCTAGACAATCTACTTCAGAACCTATTGAATCAGTATTATAAGGTATGCCTTCTAGACCACCTAGTCGGCCAGCAAGTGATCCGCCTACAGACCCTGTGATTGAAGGAATCCATATATCAAAAAACCAAATACTTCATGGAGTGTATGAATCCAGAAGGCCGTATAGCCCAACAACTAGTGATATGAATTTTGAAGTATATAAATGGATTTTTCACTAGGCAGTGAACTTAAAAAACAACTAAACCAGGATTTTATGCAGTCTAAATACCAGGAATTCAGGACATGGTATTTTAACTACCATACACCACAATAACAAGAAACACTTAAACAACAATATTATTTTCATTTTCATAAATATCAAAAACTTAGGTCCTTTCCGGGATGGTATTTTGAGTTTGTCACTATTATGGCTATACTTCCAAAACCTCAACTTAATATTTTAAATGATCTTCAGAAGACATGGTTAACAACCGATGG